TGTGTGTTTGTGGTTGTGTGTTTGTGGTTGTGTGTTTGTGGTTGTGTTTGTGTGCTTGTGGTTGTGTGTTTGTGGTTGCCTGGAGCTCGCGGTTGAGGTCCGGCAGGTAACACTGGGCGCGGATAGTCGCGGTTGAGGTCCGGTGGGGAACACTTGGGTACTCGCTTGGGTCTGGATCTCACGGTTGAGGTCCGGCAGGGAACACTGGGCGCGGATGGTCGTGGTTGAGGTCCGGCAGGGAACACTTGGGCGTGGAGCTCGCGGTTGAGGTCCGGCAGGGAACATTGGGCGCGGTCGCGGTTGAGGTCCGGTGGGGAACACTTGGGTCTGGAGCTCGCGGTTGAGGTCCGGCAGGGAACACTGGGCGTGGATGGTCGTGGTTGAGGTGGACGCGGAGGAGAAGGAGAAGGAGAAGGAGAAGGAGAAGGAGAAGGAGGAGGAGGAGGAGGAGATGGGGCTGACGTAAAATCTAACAACCCTCACCTGACAGGTGGGGAAAAACTGCACAATTGAAAAGCGCGTTGGAAACCAACGCGCTTAAGTAGGCGCAATTGGTCCGGTAAGCCCCGTGCCCGCAGAAGGTCCGGGCAGTGCCGATGCACCACAGCCCATAGGGAAATCACTTCTTGAGTAGCATAGCTTTGCTTGACAGTCATATATAGATTGTGCGCGAGACAAGGCAATAGAAAAAGCCAAGGAGAGCAAAGACAGCAAGGCCAAAAGAAAGAGGTAAGACATAGTAAAACCATCAGAATGAACTTGAACTCCACTGCACCGTGCAGTAATATCTATTATTTGTACTCGCTCTTTTTGGAATCTGCTGCGTCGCTCCAGTCCAGATTCTTCAATGTGGAGACATCTGTGCACATTAGCCAGACATTTGAATGCTGGCTACCGATCGTATTGAAACTAGAGCCGCCAAATATTTACATGTAAGGGTGAATTGCCTTGATGCCATTCCTTTGCTGGAGCGCTGTCGATGTGGCTGAAGAGAACACACCCAAAACAATGAAAAAATGCGGCAGAAGCTAAGCATCATGTGGGCCAAATGAACTAGACGCATCTACACATCTTTTGGCCAAGACTCTGAACTTGCTCATAGGTCTTTGCATATGTTGCGTCACCCTTGGGCTCCAAGACCATGACCTTGGGACTTGGGAAGTTTCATGAACTGCCAATCATGACGGCCGAGTAGAAAGTAGACTGAATCTCAAGGTAAGCGAGTCCCACTAAGCATGCCGGGTAAGTTCTTTAAGTCTGCCTCAGTCAAACTGAAACACTGAAAGCGGGACCTCGGCATCTATAAATGCCCAGCAGCCAAGCTAATTGGCCTCTTTGTCTGACACGCTGCTCCAAGCTGGTGCCGGGAAGAGACATAGCAATAATAGATGCCTTTCTCCTTCAAAAGTTTGGAGGCCATCGACATTAGGTTGGAGGCCATCGCTCTTAGGTTGGAGGCCATAGCTATTTGCAGTTAAACTATGTTAAACTGTTAAACATCAAAACGACAATTCTCAGGTCTCCACCACCTCCTTTTGGCCATTCGCTCGCTTGCTATGTGAGCTTTTCAGTGAGCTGGGGAGAAAAGAAAAGTACCTATATTATATTATACATATAGAGAGAGACAGAGAGAGATGCAATACTTCTAATACGACCTTAAGACTGAAGAATAAAATATACCCATAATCTTAAACACAAGGAACAACCGTGCATTCGCACCACTCCTCTGCCAGCAAAGGCACATGTGCGAAGACATCCTGTAAACAAGAGTGACAAAGCAATTCTGAGCACTTTCGCTTTATTCTATACTTCTTGCCAGCTAGGGGCCATCGGATAGATGTCAGCAGCCTAGGGCACCATGAATGGTCATAAGGGCCTACACAACACCGACGAATCTAAGGCCGGCACCAAAAAGCAAATTCCTTTCTGACCCTTGCGCATAGCCTTAGTGCACTCTGGCACTCCTCGCCTGAGGCAGGGACAGAGTGTGCCTTCTGCTTGGTCAAACAGGCATTCACAGAAATCAGGAGGCCTATACATTATGATACGAACTAGTCAGTAAGCCGTCAGAATCGCTTGGGAAACAGCACCTCGTCATCTTCTCAGAGACTGCCTTCTTCAGAAGTTTCAATGCCCGATCCAGTAGCTTGTCCTCAAGATGGGCAATCTAACCATAAGTATTCAGCACTCACCCAGTGTTCTTACACTGAGGACACATGCTTCCGCATGCGTCCGCATCCAACATGTCGACAAAAACACGACAAAAACAGAAAGAGACCACTTCGCAAAACAGCGAAGTCCGTCACTCCGCATCCAAGCTTCCGCGATGAGTGGGTCCGCCAGTGGTGAAACATACAGAGCCTTGCGGGGCTCCTGCAGGATCGCGCGCGGCAAATGGTTGTGTAAACAAGACAACTAAGTCTGAGAAATGTCATACAGAAAGGGGGCCACAGAAACTTATTGAAGTCTTTTCTGTCCGCACTTGGCTCTTCATGATTCAGACTGTTCCAGCTACATCAGCCTCTGGTGCTGTTCTGAAAGCCTCTGGCTGAAAACTTGGAGCCCAAGCGACTCCCGTAACTCAGCATAATGGTTTGAAGCAGCAAAGGCTCCCCAAAAGTAGGGTCACCACGGTCACCACCTTAAGTGTAAATCGTAGCACTTTGCCTCTTTCCAGCATCCACCGCATCCCAAAAGGCACAGAGCTCTGGTCGACCATGAGGAGTTTCTTCAGCAATGGAGCCACCAGGCAAGGAAGCATTCAAGACAATATTCCTGACAAAAATCATAACTCAAAGGCCAGGCGTGCAGTCTCATTCATTACTGATTAGGCGTCCAGTGTCGGTGAATGCAGTCAAGAAACTTGGTGACCTCACCATGGCTGAATTTGGGCCAATGCTGCGCGCTGCACTCATCTCGGCAGTTGGGATCCCCGCTTGCAGCCACATTCGTCCAGAAGGTCCCCACCGTCCTCGCAAAAGCCCATTCTTTGTCGTTGAAGTACGCTCGGTACCCTTCGCGGCCAAAGCGAGTTGGCGCGTAGCATGCTTCACATCGATCAAGATGAGGACAGTCAGGGGTGGTCAAGCCCCAAATGCCACAACAGCTTCCATCCTCCATAAAGTTGGGTTGACCAAGCACAAAAGTCACCTCGTCCTGGTGTGCAGCTCCTAAATACGGCAAATGATAATTGGGCACCGCCGTGCAGTTCGGATTGCCTGTGTACCTGGGGGGCATGTGTTGTCAGTTAGTGCACAAGACTTCCACAACAGTTTACATGGTCAGCAAAGCTAAGCCCCCAGCCAGTAGTCAAAGCGGTAGGCAAAAGCACGTCCTGGCCGAGCTTGGTTGAACCAAGATGCCCGTCGTCTGATGCCACAAAGCATCTGATCTGACTCGACATTGCCAAGTTGGTGCACGTTCCTGACGGGGAGGAGCAAAGGGCATCGCTACTAGGAGCAAGGACGCTACTAGGGGCTCCTGGCCTTACTACTAGGAACAAGAAGCTAATAGAAACAATAAATCAATATAATATATATATACTGTAAATAGAACTACTTCTTCAAAAGGCTCACTTGCCGGCCCCACACGAGGGGGCAAGTGTGCTCCTTCCGAAACCATTTCTGAGCTCTGTCCTAATGCCGTCTGCAGCGTCAGCTGGATAGAGGTCCAACGCCTTGACTCTTGCGGTCAATGATCTGTCATAGTAAAGTTTGTGGGGAAGCAGTGAGCAAACTGAGGTCTTTCAACACAAGATCCAGAAGACAAATGCGCCTTGGCTACAAACTTGGGGCCAACCCGAATGAAAAGTTGCGCACCTCGGCAGTGTCCCAGATGATGATTGATAAATAAGTAATTATATACGGCACATATTTTGGCAGTTCATACATTTACAGTATATATAGCTGCAGATCTTCAGTTAAAGACTTCTAACAGCTTCCACATGCGTTTGAAAAAAAGCTATATCCAACATCCAAGTGGGGATGAGAGAGACTACATCTAGCGCTCAAAACTTTACACGGTGCTACCGGCGGGTCCAGCACCGAGAAGAGAAATGGATGGAAATGGGCACAGGCCGCCTGCGGAAAAATAGATTTAAAAAAACATCGGGCCATATGCAACGGGTTGCACCAACTGGTGCGAAAGCAGGTGTTCAATGGTGTTCGGTTTTCTAGCACCACTGGGACAAGTGGACACATATATAAACTATATATATAGGGTTGGACTTGTCTTTGCAGTATGCGCTGGCATGCGCTGGCCATATACCGCATTGCCATCCATGACCGTGTTCGCCAAGATGCCATATTCCATGGCTGAGAGTGGCTTTAGCGCTCCATCAGGATGATCATTTGGCTGATCCAAGCCATCCTACAAAAGCCGGCACAGCCGGCCCTATCCACACCAAAACCATTCGGGATATCCATGAATATCCGGCTGATTCGCTGCATTTTCTAAGTATGCCAGGCCGTGCCAATGCCCCGGAGCTCTCTCTCCTTGGTGTAGTCTCGGAAGAGAAAGAGGTTGCTGTCGTTGGTCTGCGCTCCCAGGACTATGGTAGCATTGTTAACCAGGCCCTTGCGCAACAACTCCTCGATGGCACAAGCTTTCCAGCATTCTGTGACATGACAATCCCTAGTTCTACCATATATCCCTCCTCTGGCGCTTTGGGAAATGTGACGCCATCAGTAGTGGGTGACCAGCCGGCAGTATAGGTTGTGCGAGTGAGGTTCACTGCAGGCACCTGACCAAGGCGGAGTTGATCTGCAGAGTGTGTCCAACGCATCTCAGGAGAACATCGACCACACCTGTGACAGGAAAATCGCACAGAACATCCAACGCCTCTGCAAGGCAGGTCTTGTTCGCTATGCGCTGGGGTGTCAGGCAACCCAAGCTTTGAGCAATAGCAGTTGAAGTTTTTACTGCTGCTTCAAGGTTTCCAGCACTCAAGCTGCCTGACTGCAGGTCAGGTGAACATGCCATGCAACATGCCACATGCGAAGCAACGGCTGCATTTGGCAAAGGCGGTGCACAGCATTGCACAACATCTCTTTAGTTGCCTCGCCTGACTCACTGATAGCTCCAAGGAAAAGACCATTGGAATCAGGAGCCACATATTGAAGCTCTACCAAGCCTCGGGCCATCCAGACGGCCAAACGGATAGTAGTGAGTGATCAGCTCCTACAACTCAAAGAGCGGTTCAGTAGTACAGCACGTGCAGAATATGGCACAATGCTCAATGCACAATGCGACTGACATTAACGACAGTACCACACGGCTTGCTACCTCAAGCACCTTACATTCCCCAGAGCGTCGATGCGCCCTCATTCGTCAAGACTCCACCCCCAGAGCTTTGCCCATGGATAGCAACGCGTGCTGCATCGCCTCCAAAGGCCGCAATCTCTCGCTGAACCCAGCGCAAGGCACCTCACCAAACATCACTAGGCATTGCGGCATTGCACTTGAAGTATCTCAAGTGTAGCAAGACCGGCATCGAAAGTATCGAACGTTCTCATCTACACTAATTACGTGGCATACTAATTACAGCATAACACATAGTACACTATCGTCTCCCAAGAAAGGACTGAGTCTCAGAGTTCAAGGTTGAAACTTTACGGTTCAGTCTTTTCACATGCATGTACATCTTCAGGTTAACTTCAGAGTTCAGTCCTTTCTCTATAGTTGGAGATACTTCAGGCCCTTGTCTTTATTTGTTGTATTAACTCCAAAGAATATCCAGGGATGCGGTTGTTTTAGTGAGTTTGAGAGTGTTTCTGTTTTCCTTGAAACACCTACCACGTCAAAACTCTAGAGTTTAGTCTGTTTGTCTTGAAGACTTGCTGGGCATTATGTCGCAAGTTTATTGTCTTTTGTTTTTTCTGCTATTCAACATGTCTTCCAGTTTTGGCTATCAATGAGTTGTCGGTGCTTAGCTCCACTTTAGCTCCACTTATGGCGGCCATTGGCATCGCATGGTGGCTGGTGCTGCCCGTCGGGTGTGCCTCTGGTGTCTTGCTTCTTAGGTGAGGAGAAGCGCCAGGAGCGTTGATGCAGGTTCGTTTTTGCCAGGAATGGCCAAAGATCCCCAAACCATAGCATTTCTTTCATGTGTGGGCTCAGAGGAAGGTACTTTATGCATGGCAGGCACGGGTGTGAGATGTTCCCGGAAGAAGGTGCGGGGCAATTATTGCCAGCAGCACTACAACGAAGCAGCTTCAGAAACTACAAAGGAGACCTACCTCCAAGAGATGCAAGATTTTTTTGAAAATGCCAAGGCCAAGTGGGAACAGGATCAGTTAAACCTGGCTGTCGCGCAGTCCTGCCTTGTCAATTAGACGTGTGGAAATACGTCTTCGGACCTCGGAATGACGGCCTGGAGGCGATTGCATGTTTGTGGCAGTTGCATGGTCAGCAGGCATACCAATCGATCCGCTTGCTTTCAGACAACGGGTGTGTTCCTATTTGGCAACATTCCCTCAAATGTTTTCACTTTGGTTCGGTACAAAGTGGCCCTCCTGTGAATCGTACCTTCAAGCTTTGAGGCGACCAGGTGTTTGGTGAGGCGATTTGGCTTGAATAGCCATGTCCTTCTCCGCCCCATACTTGTCGTGACCGATCGGCCATCTTCGGATGAAGTCGAACCGCCTTCTCAGATTAATGCACAGGCTTGGGGCCCTCCAGCCTCCAATATGGATATGTTTTCTTGGATTCAACCACTACGAGGCGACGCAAGCGATCGCTTCGCGAAGCCAAGCAAGTGTTCCTCCTTCAGCCTCGGTGAAGACAGAGACTAGTTGAGGACATAAACCTTGCTCTGCTCCAGGAAAAACTCGGGAGTTCAGTCGCTTGCAGGGTTTAAAGACTGATCTGCAACGTTTAGTCTCGGTTGTACATGACAGTGCAAAACCACAGGGTTTCCTCCAGAGTTCAGACCTAGGCTGGATTAAGTCCAGGGTTAAGTCTTTTGAACTCTGAGTATCAGACGCTTCCTCGTCTCCCATAGCATGGTAGTCCGCACAACCCTGTGGTTCTCTTATGCATATGTTGCATGCTGCTACTGTGAATATATAAGTAATATATACTGTGTATGCGTGTGTGCTTACAAATGCAAATGAACAAAATCTGAGATGCGAGTCAAGCGACTCTGAATGTCCAAGATTCCCCAGTTGCCAGTTGATCTTTTGGCATCAACGTCTTCTGCGAAAGCCATCCACCCAAGTGGCCCCGTTCGGTAGTTGAAGGATACACAAACGACATCATGGAAGGCCGCCAAGGCACTCCTTGGCAGTCACAGCAGAGTTGGAGTGCGTTCAACCCTTTCCGTCTTTCTCTTTACTGTTTTCATGTTGCTTGCTTCATTTGCGGGGGCTGAGGCCATGGGAGATCATGGGAGGCTCGGCAGGTAGCATAGCAAAGAAAATCACAAACGATCCGACGTAGGAAAACCCTCGCTTTGAGAAGAGGATTGGCACCTCCAAGTTGCATGTTGTATGGCTCAGCTTCACCAAACTGGTTGGAGCCTCCATAGATGAAAACCATGACGGGAAGTTTGTTGTCAGCTTCCCAAGCTCGGTGCGGGCTCCATACATTAGCTTTGAGGCAATCCTCACTTCCATACGTCTGAGTCGGATCCCCTGCAACTTGCATGCAGGCAGGTCCCCACATGGCCGCTGCAACCTTTCTGCCTGGATACGGCCCATGGAAGTCCATGGGTGGCTCAAATCTCTTTGCGGTCGCAAAAGGAACACCAAGGAACTGATCAACTTCCACACCACCAGCTGCTGGAAGAGTAATTCCGATCACGGACCCTCCACTTGTCTCAGGCCATGGTTTGGCACTGGCAAGGGAGAAAAGCACCAAAAGAAGTTCACGTCCAAACATCAGGCCCTGCATGTTGTCTAAACAGCGGCTTGGCCTCTAACCTATGCCGTCAATTGAGCCCACATATGACGAAACGTCCACAAATTTGCTCTAGAACATGGACAAGAAAACATGCAAGACTTCTACATCGGCATCGGTGGTGGACACCACAGTAATCCAGCCAACATGTTTCAAGGTCTTGCCACGCTCCTCTTCTTCCTCTTCAGCCATGAGATCCAAATGCTCAAGCTGCTGCTTCGTGCGAGGCAACAGGCTGAACTTCGATGCTTTGAGCCAAATTGCATTGCCAGTGTCCACCGAGATCATGCCAAGCCCGTGTTGAAATCAGCACATTTATGGTGTTTTTGGTGTGGCATGCGTCTCACGCCTTCCGTTTCGAGCCCAAAACCCAAACCCAAACAGTTCCGCATGCAGAATCACCACAAACAGTGCAGAAACACCTTTGATGCACGGCTTGGCCGGCATCTCCAGAAGGCCTGCTGGCCTTGGTCGTGGTTCATCCCGGCATTGGTGAGCCGGTTTTATGGATGCGAAGGATAATATGCCATCAACGGTTGAGCAGCATACTGAGTTCAGCCAACATTCACCTTAGCTTGCTGGCCATGGTGATTTTGGTATAGGGGGCGCCACCAACGAGTCATATGTTTTTTCAGGTGGCCTCAATTACGGGGAAACTTCCTTCTTGAACCTCCTACACTACTGACTGTGGCAAGGAAACCAGATTCCGAGAAGCAGGCGGGCCATTGGGCAGCTTTCCCTGCATTTCGATTGACACTACCAAGCACTCTATGCACTATTATGAATTCACAATGTGGTTTTAGGTTTTGGCCGCTTGCCTTCGAAGCCGTTGTGCTTGGAGAATTGAGAAACTTGATGATTGTGTCCTGTGTGGCACAGGCTTGGTGGCCCTCACTCTTGCAGGCAAGGTCACTCAAACATGTTTAGTGAAGGCTCGAGAGAGGTCCTTACGCACCCCTACAAACAAGCTACCGCCCAGGACTAGGACAGGTAAGAAATCTATGTGGTCGTTTTCCCAAAGGCAAAACAAATCAGGTACAATAATTGCATGTTCTTAGCAGGTTTGATATCATTATTGTCTTATTGTGCACATCACCCCACGGGTACCTGATGCAAGTATACACGCATCGGACACCTCACTTGCACACGGTTGGACGGAACCCGGACCTGAAGACTGAATTATAAGGCTAGATGTGCAAAAACTCACTTCTACACCCTCCATCAACTCACATTCGCGCTTAGTGACTCATTTGCGCACACAGGAATGGGAGTGTGACCAGGGGGGACCAGCATTTTCGATGCCTGTCAATCCCAAACCAAACACGACGCTTACAAGCGAGCTGTTGGGAGAGTACACCATAGGGTGCCACGTCAGTCACTAGCTCAGCACACGAATTGGTTTCAAAGTTGTTTTGCTGAGATGCGCTTGTCCTGGCACAGTGCCGGGCTCACAAATTGAGTCTGACCCCCCTTGCGATGTTCGCCCTCTAAATGAAGCACAAGGGAGTTCAGAGCCTCGCTATTTATTCAGATGGACGGGTTGGCAAAGTAAACCTCGTGAGTTCTCGAATGTTACCCACACCGGTGCTTGGCTTCGAAAGATGATGGTTGGACCGAATCGTAATCTGTTTGTGCTGTGGATGTCTCTTGATGAAAAGTGGAACCAAAATGGAAAGGATGCAAGAAGTGAGTCAAAAAAGAAAAACCCAAAGGACATATAGTAAAAACCAATGGCTTTTACCAGCACAATCAATTTCTGCTGAAATCACCTGTCAGTCGAAAAGGCACCATAGCCTGATCGCAAGTAGTGAACTAACCAATACTAACCACATACCAGTAAGCACATCTTCAGATGGGTAAATCGGGCCAATAGATCAAATATACCAGTGTAGACGGAGACATCGCAAAAGAAGCGGCCCAAGCAACAAACCACGTTGGGAGAGAAGGGGAGAAAACCCTACGAACAGCAAAAGCGCCTGTTCAAAGCAGTTATATAAATAGACCTCACAGGTGATCATGGTTGGGGAAAGCGGCTTGCCGTATAACTAGGTGGCGACCACCCAACAGCAAGCAAAACAAACCCTATCAAGAAAGGGTGACCTTGTTTTTCGGGATTTTTTTCCGACGCGTTTTGGGAATGTTTTTTCCGCACTGTTTGTGGTCAGGGGTTGCCACAAAGAGAAAAAGAAAGAGAAAAAGGAAAAGGATAAAAAACTAGCAGCATAGGAGGCAAGGAACGGAAGAGTATTAGAAGGAGAAGGAGAAAAAGGAAAAGGAGGAAAAGAGGGAGGAAGAGAAGGAGAAAGAGAAGGAGAAAGAGAAGGAGACAGAAGAGAGAGGAGAAGGAACAAGAGAAGGAGAAGGCTCTTCCCGCTGCATTCTTGCAGATCACAATACAGTATACACCAGCCATGTGAGAATGGTAGCGCTTACCGGTAAGTCTGAAATATATATGTGTATGTTCCTGCATACATATGTAGTGTGTGTATCTAAGTTTGTCTGTGTATGTATGTATGTAAGTATGTAAGTATGTATGTATGGATGGTTGGTAGGCAGGCAGGCAGGCAGGCAGGTATGTATGTATGTATGTGGATGTATGCGCTTGGTTGTTTTCGCTGCCGGCGTCATCAGTGACCCCTGCGTTCCGGACCATTTTTACTCGCTCCAAGGACTATTTGACCGTGGGGGGGGGGGGGGGGGGGG